CGGCCCGGCCCAGCCGGTGCTGTGAGAGGTTGGGAAGCGGTTTGGTGTTACCCGTGTCCCTCAGGGCGTGGGGGCAACGGGCTCAAGTTGTGCCGGGGGGGTGTAAATTGGATACGAGGAGTAATTTCATAGAATCCCAGACTGGTTTGGGTTGGAAGGGACCTTAAAGCTCATCCAGTCCCAACCCCCCTGCCATCAGCAGGGACACCTTCCACTAGACCAGGTTGCTCAAAGCCTCATCCAACCTGGCCTTGTACACTTCCAGGGAGGAGCAGCCACAGCTTCTCTGGGCAACCTGGGACACTGTCTGACCACCCTCACAGTGAAGAACTTCTTCCTAATATCTAATCTAAACCTCCCCTCTTTCAGCTTAAACCCATTTCCCCTTGTTTTGTCATTAGTTGCCCTTATGAAAAGTCCTTCCCCAGCTTTCTTGTAGCCCCTTCAGGTACTGGGAGGCCACTATAAGATCTCCCCGGAGCCTTCTCTTCTCCAGGCTGAACAGCCCCAACTCTCTCAGCCTGTCCTCACAGCAGAGCTGCTCCAGCCCTCGCATCATCCTCGTGGCCTCCTCTGGACTTGTTCTAACTGGTCCATGTAAAGGACCAGTTTCATCATCAGAAGGGTGGTCAAGCATCAGAATACGCTGCCCAGGGAGGTGGTGGAGTCACCATCCCTGAAGATGTCCAGAAAACATGTAGCAGTGGCACTTCAGGCCGTGTTTTAGTGGTCATGGTGGTGTTGGGTTGATGGTTGGGCTTGGTGAGCTTAAAGGTCTTTTCCAACCTTCATGATTCAATGATTCAGTGAAAGCAGGTACCTGATCTGGAAACAGGACCGTTTCCTCTGGTTTAGTTGTTAGTGAGTAATAAAAAAGGGTTTTCATTTTGTGAGGTACCTTCTTCCCCCCCACACTATCTACTCATGTCCTGTAGAAATGTCACAACAAAACCTTTGCCCACCCTGTGTGAGGATACTTTAAAAAATTGCTTAAAGTTGTCCCTCAAAAGGAACAGCCTCGTTGTTGAATGTGATTTAGCAGATTTCAACTTAAGAATTATTGGAGACCTTAAAGAAAATAAATACAGCCTGTGAGGAAGGTAAAGTAAAAGCTGACAGTGAGAGTGTAACTTGCTAAAATAAACGAGGAAGAGCAATGTGGGATGTCTTGGTCCCACACTGATCTTGATAATTGAAAGGTAAGACTTTAAATTACTGTTATGACATACAATGAACTTTCATTTCTATCTTGATCCTGCTCTGCTCTTGTCAGTGTGTAGTACTCTTGTGTACTGCTTTGAACCTAGCTAGAGTACAGGTTACTTCCAAAGTGGGTTGGGTTTTTTTTCTCTTTTAATCCAGAGGTTTCTAAACCACCTGAAGTATTTCTTGAAGCCTGCTATTTTTTTTTTTTTTTGGTCTTGTTGGTAAAAAAGTGGGTAAAAAATAATAAAGGAAATTCAGACTTTACAATGTTTGTGGTAATAGAGTTAAAAAATTGTTACAGGCGTGGAAGAGGGGATGCTGCTGAAAATGCTCTATTAGAAATAATAATCTAAATTCTATTAGTAAAACTAAAATTACTGAAATAACTACTTGTTCTTCCCTAGTCCTGAAGGGCAAGTCCAGTGTAAAAGCCCTACCAAAAATTAAAGAAAATCTTGAAGTCACCCAAGCGAGCCCTTCATCCAGCCCAAGGTGTGTTAGAGCTCACTCAGGTACAGTTGTTAACACCAGCTGTTCTTTAATTTCATTTTACCTGCATGAGATGTCTCTTGGAAATACACAGTCTGAATTCTCAGTAAGCTGATGTTTGTCAGGCTGTTTGTTGGCACCTCATAAAGATGTTTTGTAGTGTTTATTGCCTTCCTCCAGGACAGCGTAGCTCTGTGTATTGAGTTTAACTCTGTTCTTCAACTGCAGCAGTCGAGTGAATGTCAGAGAAACAACAGACTTGGAAAAAAATGAAGAGAAAATAGAAGACAGCACTGTACCAATGAAGGTGAGAATGTTGTCTTGCTCTTTATTAATAATTACAGAGACTAAATCAAAGAAATGTGACACTTTACATCCTTTTTCTACTCCATTAGAATTTCCTGTGTGTGCACACACACACATTTTTCAGGCTGAACTTGATCCTGGATTCTGGTGACATTTTCCTGTGTCTTTGGCCAGAATAAAAACTATTGGAGCTATTGGTAGAGTATCAAAACATCAGTACTAATTATCCTTAATGAGGAAAGGCTGTAGCAATTGTGTTGTGTGGAAGAGATCTCATTAAAGTGTGATTCCAGAGAATTGCTCCCATCCAGTTCAGACACAGACCTTTGGCAAGTGTTAGTACAACAACTGAACCAAGTATTTTGAGCTGGCTGAGCTGAAATGTGACAGGACAGTTAATAGTTCACTAGGTGTGTTTGAGCTGAAATCTGCTACAGCAAAGGGTCTGGGAGATATTGGTGTAAAACTATTTTTCTTTACAATGTTATGTCTTATTTAGAGCCCACCAATTATTTATATTTCCTTCAAATGCTTGGTTTCACAGAATATCCTGTGTACACAACATAGTTGGTTTTATTTACAGAAATTATCTGGGATGCTGAAAGTGAGCAGTGTGAGTTTAACCTCCAAAAAAAAATTAAAATTAAAAAGAAATCAAAAGACTGGGAAATTCATTACTCCCCTGCTGTCTTGGGCATAACTTCAGGTGATGTCAGTTGATATCATAGAATCACGGAATGGTTTGGGTTGGAAAGGGACCTCAAAGCTCATCCAGTTCCAACCCCCCTGCCATCAGCAGGGACACCTTCCACTTCATATATCTCATCCAGCAAAGCTTGCAGGATCAACTGATTGGGTATTCATTATGAATTCTAGCTCTGTAAGTCAGGCTGCAGATTTATTAATGATGCATGAAAAAACTCTGTACAAATTACACTGTGAGTAGCAAATTTAAACAGTGAAGTACCAGACAGTAAGTTTCTGAGCATCTTCTAATGTACAAATACATTTAATTGCATTTCTTTGTCTACATCTGGTCTTCTTAAGTTGTTTGCATTGGTTGTTTGATTTTTAGGAATCACTGATAATCAACTTTGAAAGTAAAGAAAGTTTGAAAAATGCTGAAGTGACTTCAAGTGAGTATAATGGCAATACATTATATCATTAAATATATTTTTAGATCTGTATAAATGTGAAATTTGTTATATAATGTTAATTATATCTCTATAAAAGCACTGGTGTGCTGTTCTTGTACTGGTTCTGACTGTGTGATATTAGAAAGTAAAGGGTTTGAGACCACGGGCTGGACTTGTGGGCAGCCCAAACAGGACAGGAGCCCTACAAGACCTGAGACAGTCTTGAGCTCAGCCTGTTGAAAACCACCTGATCTTGGTTTTATCACTGAAAGCAGCTAGTTGCTGACATCAGCTCTTCAGTTTACTCAAACCTGTGTTTTGAAAAGCTTGTGCCTAAATAATTAGTCCTTCTGAAACAAACCTGCCTAAGAATTATCTTATTGGCAGCTAAATTTTGCTAGTGAACCCTGGGCGAGGAAAGTATCTTCTCTTAGCTTATGGTTGTGTAAAGTGGGCTTCAGGATGCCCTTTGTTGATTTGTTTCTTTAACTGTGTTATGAATCAGTGTAAGATAATGACTTGACAATATTTAGCTCATCACTAAAGGAGTAAAACTTAGATAAGGAAATCCTGATGGTTTGTACAAGATGATACTTTTTTTGTAGCCACCTTTTTTGCCTCTTTCTCTAGGTACAGGAATGACTCTCCCCACAGGTGTTTCAACCTTTCTCCTAGAGTGTTTAGATGTAGATTCAACTGCAGATTATAACACAGCTGCTAGTGACAGCCTGAACAGTTACCCATCCCCTGAAACATTCAGAGATGATGGTTCAGGTGAGACTTTTGGAGTTTTTTTTGCTTTTGGTTTGGTCACAAATTTAATAACTCGATGAGTTTCAGCATAAGAAGCCTGCACTTATATCTTTTATGTCCAGAAAGAAGTAATTTTTACTCTGGGGACTCTGGCAAGTACAAGAACTCTACTCTCCTGGACTCCAGCAAAGCAGTGACCATAGATAAGATACCACAGATCTCAAATCTTTCAGCAATATTAGGTAATTATTTCCCACTATACTTAGGAATAGATACATAAGCAAATTTAACTCTAGTGCAAGGAACCTGTATAAACAATGTACCAGGCATGTCTGCATAATGGGGAGCAGCTCCCTGGTAGTGATCTGTCTTTGCTTCTAACATTTTGCTTTATAATTTAAATGCACTAAAACATTGTCTGGTCTGCTCAGCTTTTTTCTTTTAAAGTTTAGCTTTTGTTTTTTTAGAACCTGTACAGGAGGATTTTCAAGACCAGTACCCTAGAAGGTAATCTGCAAAGCAGACTCTTTGACGCACCTAAGGGCTCAGGTTTTTCTCTTTTGAATGACATCTAAAAGAAAGACCAACATAAATAAGCTTCTGGTCCTGCAAACGCTTGTGTTGAGTTTTCAGCTACCTGTGTCCTCACTAAATTTGAGGTTGATGCATTAAGTCAGGTAAGAGTTTGCCTTATAGACTTCTGTTTTGGTCTTGCAGCTGTAGGGAAGTCAGTGTAAGAAAATTCAGTGTGGGATTTTATGGAAGGGGAAGGTGACATTTGTTTACTAAATAAGATACTTTTATCTAATTACAGTTATTCTGACAGATTTCAGTCAGTCACAGACAGCAAGATGTGTGTGCTGAGTGGTCTGGCTGCCATTACCTGTGGCTTGTTCAGGACAAATTTAGGTTTTGGGCAGATCTTTTGTGTTCTTTAGGAATCATCAGCTGTTCCAGAGCACTCTTTTGCTTCAGAACCTTCCTGACTTCAGCCTTCATAAATCTTGGGCCAGGTTGCTGCCCGTTGTCAGTTTTTTCTTGTTTGGAATCCATCTCTACCAGGAAGTGGGATGGTGTGTGTGACACTCTGGAACCCTCTTGCCACCCTCCTGTTGTTAGGACGCCAGGTTTTCTGTTGACAAGTCATCTGTGTTGTGGCCTTATCTCAATGCAGGGTCTTCACTGCACTTCTGTACTTGGCCTTGTCAGAGTGCCACCTTCAGGTCCTGACGTGAAAATCCCAGTAACTCGAGTGTTTTTCTAGGAACAGGATCCTTTCTTTTAACCCTTGTGCTGCTGTTTCCAGGCTTACATGCAGACCTTTCCATTCATAACTCATTTACACCAATCTCACCGTGTTACAGATCTCTACACAATTTAACCTGAATTTTCTTGTGAACCTAATTTTCTCCTTCACCCCCCTTAAATATACTTTGTCCTTCAGTGCTGATTGTCTTCTGTAGGTCTTAAATTCTATATTTCTTAAGAATAAGCTGTGTGACTTGATGATAAACTATCAAATAACTGTAAAGTGTGATTAAGTAACTCAGTAACAATATTTTGAAAAGTAATCTTTATCCTTTTTCTCTCAGTCTGTATTTTCCTGTGATTTCCTTACACTGGTTTTATTGAACATTAACATTCATTCAGAATAGCTATTCACTTTTTTTTTCCCCTTTCTCTCCTAGAAAGAGACCATCAAATTTTAATGATGATTCTTCAAAATTAAGTGTTTCGACTACTCTGGCAGGTAAAATATGACCTGAAGCAGTTGTACTGGCTGTGACACAATAGGATATTCTACCCAAACTTAAATGATGGCAGAATATCAGTAGCAGGCTTTCACTGGGTCATTTGTCCATCTGGCACAGACTAAGCTCAATTGTGTCTAGAAGGGAAAGTGTGAGTTGAAAATCTTCTCTGTAAATAAGACTTAGTTCTAATTAATGGGTTAGCAGAAGATGAGGAAAAAAACAAAACCAGAAACCAAACCAATGAAAAAAAACCCACAAAAAACCCCAAGCCACCTGCATTTTTCCATTTAATCACCTGTGATGCTCACTGGAAATTTAATGCTTCTTATTTGACTTATCTAAGAGCAGAACTGTTTGTGCCATGCTCCTTACTTACTTCATATCAGCTTCACAAACACTATGAGGAGTCCCTCCTGTAACTACAGTTCTGAACTGTGACTGATGCAGTTCTGGCTGTGGCCCAGGTACCACGTCATCTTCTCCTCCTTAATTTGGACTGTAATAGCAGCAGAAGTTGCCACTGGCAAAGACTGCTGTGATTATGCAATTCCTCTACTCCCACAGTATGTGTGTCTAGCCCTAAATAACCAGGTGAACACAAGATTAATAAGCAACCTTGTTTCCTTAAGGAAAGGGAGAGGAATAAAGCAGCCGTGTTGGCGGGGAGAAGGGGATGAGGATTATATTGAAGGGAGGAAGTGTGTTTACATGGGTGGCTTTGGAATGATCCTTCTTTGAAAACCATCCTGTAAGACATGGGTTGGAGAAGAGTAGCTGTGGTTTTTGTCTTAAAGTTAATTAATTTGTTGGAAATTTATCACAGGGAAAAAAGTCTGTAAAATTACAGCTGCAAGAGAGAGAACTCCAGACCTAAAAACTGGTATGCGCTGTTCTTCACCGTTAGGACCGGAAAGAAAGGTGAAAGATCCTTTAATGAATCAGCCAGGTTGTAACATAGATGACTTGCTCCTTCCCTGGAGAGGTGGAAGACTCCACCTAGAGGTGTAGTAGTTCCCTGGAAAGGGGTGGCTGCAGACAGTGGCAGAGTGAAGATGTAGTTGCCTCTACGTCTGGATAGCAGCGATAGTCACGGGTGCCCCCTGAGCTCGCTGTTTTATCAGACTGACTGTGTCAGTGGTACCAAATCAGTTGTGTTAGAGCTCCAGGGTGACAGTGAGACTCTTTGTTAGTTCTTACCAGACTATAGAGATTCATTTTCTAACACAAAATATAATTGTTTCACCCTTTCAGCCTGACAATCAAACTGCTAAACCCAAAAGGCTGAAGGGTAAGAAAAAAGGGAAAAATTCAGAAGAAGGTACATGGTCGTTCAGTCAGCTCGATGCTTCGGCCCAATCAGTGGGGGTGCCAGCAGAAGTACTGCTGTCCAAGCAGCCAGATGCTGTGGTGGTGAGTATTCCCATTGTGCCTCGCTGATTAGGCATAAAATTGAAGTGAGAATTTTGAAATCGTGACAAAAGCTACAATTAAATCTGAGAAGTGGTAGGAAGTGCTTTATCCCCGAGCTGTGAAGGGCACTGGACATGTGTCTGCTCCATGCTGCAGTAAACTCATCCTTTGTCTTCATTTTGGGGAGCATAAGACCAAAAAAAAAAGTGAATAACATGAATTCAGTAGTTAAACCCTGAGAACTATTAGTAATTCTAAATGGAGTTGTTATAAATAGTATTGTGTACTGGGGGAATACTGTAGGACTAAGAATAAATAGCAAAGAATTGGAAACTGACACTGAATTCCTCTCTGCTTTTGTTTAGCCAATGAGTTCCACCATGCTGATCAGGGAGGAAAATAAAGCCTTAAAAAATCTGGGTTGTGCTCAGCCTGCAGAGCTGGATGTGAGTGTCTATCCTGGTACTTTTTTTAATTATTAGAACCAAATAAATAGTTCTTTGTGGCACAGTCCAACTCTGGCTGTACTTACGCTACAATACAAAGTGCACAACAAACTGCGTGTTAAATTCGATCAGCTGGACAGTTAAAAAAACTACAACAAAACCCCCAAGTATCTCTCTTTTTTGTGGTTTTTACAACATCTTCTAATGTAAAAACAGCACCTGACATTACCCCTTTGATACAAACAAACCTGATATTTAAATGCCAGTTTTAATTCTTTGTCAGTAGAGGTAGCATGGTACCACCACTTCTCTCTGTGGGCACAGAAGTGATGTCTCTTTATCACTTTCATGCCATAGCTCCCAACCGAATCAGCAAACTGCAACTGTTTAGAAAAAGGTTTACAATAGGAAGACTTGCTTAATTTTGCACCAGATTATTTTGCAGGAAAACATACTGGGCTTTTAGTGTTGTAAAACTCAATATACTGTTGTAAGCATGCTTGAGTTTATGAGTACTAAATTAACAGGGTCTTGTTAGAGACTGAAGACAGGAATCACTGGAGTCCTAGATCATATTTTTGAAGCAATAGAACATCTTTTGTCTGAACCAACAAGCGTTGGCCAGTTTGAATTGTTGTCTGTTATTTAATTGGGCAGTGATTGCTGTATGTTTTGTATTTTGATGGTGCTGTAGCTTACCTTGTCACCAGTGTGCAAAGCCTCACCTGGGGAAGACCTGTTCCTGAACACCACAGGTCCATGTGTGAATTCAGAAGAAATTGTTCCTGCGTCTCTGAGCTCAGAAAAGGAAATTATTCCTCAAAGTCCAGGAGAAAAGAATATTTTTCAGGTTCTAATTTTATTGCACTCTTTAAATCCAGTTTTGGCATGCTAGTATGTATGTTTAAGCCTTACAGTATCACAAACAGCTGATGAGAATGTTTAAACTTTGAAGCTTTCTGTCACTCTTTCTGAGAGTGTATTAAGTGTACACAAGAAGTCTTAGATGTTTCCTACTGAAATCCCTTGAAATCTGCATGTCATCTCCCATTTCCCTAGAAGAAAGCTAGAAAAAAATATTTCTTTTGATTGAAACAGTTGTGTGAATGAAATGTCATTAATTTTTCAGCCTCTCTGTGGCAGACAAGAAATCTGCTCCATTGTCAGAACTTCACCGTGCCAGAGACCTTCCAGGCTTCGCCACATTCCAGTTACCACAAGAGCCTTCTGCCTTCCCGAAGGAGTGCCTGAAGGTAATGGGACAGAGACTGGGTTCACTGTGCCGGTGGTGACTGCCTGTTTGTTTGAGTGTTTAAAGGGTTGGGGTGGTTGGTTTTTTTTCCTGAAGTCTTGGAATTTGGAAAAATCACAAGGTTGAAGAATAAAACATACTGAAAACTTCAAATTTGTGACAGAACAGTGTTCTTGTCCAACAGTACTTCACTAAACAAACTACACTGTTTTCTCCTTCAAGGATCTTTAGTGCAGGAATTAATAGAATCCAGACATTTCATGGCCAGAAGGTGCTAGGAGGTAACTCTGGGAATATCTGCACCTCTTCAAGTTACCCCTCAGCACAACTTGGAGCTTCACTGCTGGTATGGATACCAGCTTGTTTAGTAAATGATTATCCTGTGCCTTATTTTGAGGGTGAATATGTCTGACTTCAGCTTTCAGCCATTGGTTATGTTTTTTATCTTGCTCAGCTAAACCTTTAGAGGTTTTATATTAGAGGAGCTCTTTAGCATCCAATATTTTCCCCTCCCCTGAAAGGAGTTCAAGTAATAGGGTATGTCTTTCTTTAAACATTATCAGGTTCTCTCTAAAGGTTTCTGTTCTTTTCTCCCGAGACCCTTTATAACATAGGGGAAGCTCTTTTCTTCACTTCCTAGATTTTTGTTAAACAAAAATGAGAAGTGTGTACAGAACTCTCTCATCACCACCACAGAGGTAAAATCCCCTCCCTTTCCCATCTCCTGAAGTTTCTCAGTGTGCCACTGGATGGCATATGTCTTCTGAAGTTTAAAGTAGTTCTGTACAGACGATGTCTGCAAGTTTTCTGCGAGTTATATTTGTCATTTATGCTGTTCTAATTGAATACAGAGATACTGCATAAGCACAATAGCTTTGAAAAATACCCAGTATACCCCAATTTCCAATGGAAATGCAGTCTCCTGGGTGTAAATGCTCTCCTGCTTCATTACAGATTGAGTACATACAGCACCTAGAATGCAGGGAAGTGCTTTTAAATGTGTGTACGTGTTAATTAATGACAATCACCTGATGCTTCTGTACAGATCAGAGAACAAAGATGACAAGGATGTTAAGTCATGTGCCCAAGAGAACTGTGGTAATATAGAGCACAGGTTGTATTTGATAGGCAAGTGGATCTCAGAAATCTGTGGTGGTGCCAGAACAAGAGATTTGTTTTGTTACTGCTTTTCTAGAGGAGCCTGGGAATCAGGAATTAGGCTGCCTAAAGGTGGTGGGGAGAGTTCTTTTATGCTGGATGTTTCATCTCTGCTCGAGGAGTCTTTCAGCTGCTGCTCTTTTTCAGTAGGAATGGACCTACACTCAAAACTGTGGTTCTCTTCTCACTAGCAATTGACCCACAAGATTCAGATTCCTCCAAACAAATGATAGCATGGATATCTATTGAGCATCTAAAGAGCTTGTCAGATCAATCAGCTTTCTCTTACACTTGAGAATGTGCCACTTCACTGATACTATTTGACTTACCACTTTTTTTCCCCAGATACTATTACAAGTACCAAAAACTGGATCTACTGTAAACACAGATGAGATTTCTGGATGTCAGCAGGAGTCAACAGAAGAAATCACTGTCTTGCTGCTGTGACAGGGAGGTGAAACATCTACTAACCAGTAATTAATGGCTGTATTATTTTTTTTGGTGTATACATAGTTTGAAATTTAGTCTAATGCTTTGAAATAAGCTTGTAAATACTTTACTCAAGTACTTAATATTAAATTATTTTGTACACAAGCAACTAGATCTTATTCTGGGCATTGTTCTACAAGGACTTCACCTTTATTTAGATATTTAAAAGATGTGATTCAAGAACAGCAGACCAAATTGTCTTAGTGGAATTATTTTTGGCTCTTGCTGTGCCAAGATTTCTAGATTTCTCTCATAGCATTAGCATCTGAAGATGTGACCTGTACTTGAGTTAAGAAGTGTTAACACTGTTTATAAAGGTAACTGCATGTCCTGAAAATGGGTATGTAAAGCATTCAGGTACTCTCAGAAGTCAATACCACTAAATTACCTGAATGCTTGGGTCTGCAGAACTTTGGAGGTACAGGACTCTGAGTGTTCTGCTGTAAATTGACTTCTGAACTTGAATTTAAGTGGCCTTCACCCAACCATCGCTGCAGTACAGCTGGATTTTTATGATCAGCACTATCACCATGCCAGGCACATTCACTGCCCAACCACGGCCATCTCAGAGCCCTTCTATTCATCTCAGTTGTTTGATCATTTCACCCATCTCAGTCATTGCTTCTTCCAGTGGCTTCAGACTTGTGCAGAGGAAGTAGGTGCCCTGCATGAATACAAGGGTGGGAAAAACCCTTTTCCCCCCCCCTCTCAAAAGCTGGATATTGGATTCTGGATTTTCAGGTCACTGATGGTGCTACCTGGAGCATAGGTTAGATTCCCAGTGTTTCCAGTTCAGCTCATGGTTGTTAATCCATAGATGTCATTCTTCAGCAGTGTGCTGAATGCCTCAGAGCACAGTTTTTCTCCTCTTGCATTCACTTCAGGCTGAAGTAATTTAGATCCCTACAGTGTTCTCACTCCAACACCCCTCACTCAGACTCTTTTGTGGACATAAAGGAAGTTTTTCAATGTTTTAAAATAATAGTATGGCTTTCCAAACCTCTTGAAGTCTGAGGGTTGTTTTTTTTTTCCCTCAGTATTATCACCCAGAATATTAATGCCCTGGAAAACAGTTCTGTATTTCCAAAAAGAGCACGACAAGAAGATGTATAAAATCCACAGCTTTAATGAGTTTGACTACATTTGAAAATACCTGTGAAAGTTCAGACCCTGAGCCTTTTCCCATTGCTGTGGGGTAGGAGGAAGTGCAAGTAAAGGCACATAGATGAGTCTATGAACAAGTATTGTATAAACACACTGTATGGCTGAAGGTTAAAAATGATGCCATTAAGTTATTTTTCCTTTTTTAAGCATTAGTAGAATGAATTCTGCCAATAACTCCTTGAACTCTTCTCAGGTACGCTTCTAATTATCAATATCCCTGTTCTTACAAATACTGAGCCACTGGTAATTATACAACAATCTAGAGCCCCTCCTGGAGATAGTGGTGAGCTCCTCGTTGTAGCTTTAAGCAAAATTGAAAGTTATGTATGTAGTAAGTTGTGATTATGATGATTGTTCAAGGAAAGGATGGTCCAAAATAAGAGGTGTTTATCGTAAGGGTGTTCTAGGAGTCCTAGGAAAAAAACCACTTATTTTTGCCCCAAACCATTTTATAGTTTCTATACAAGAAACAGACTAACACTGACAAATTAATTGGAGAGTATGAGAGAAGAAAATACAGCATGTAACTGTGGAGGCTGAATATTGCTGAGTTTTGCTTTTGTTTTTCTTGATGTGATGCAGCCATATAGGAGGACAGAAATATCACCAACCACGATCTCTCTCGTCCTTCCCTTCGGTTACGAAAGCACTGCTTCTTATTTCCCACTTTTGTCTGACTCTTGGAGAAAGTATAATTAATTCCCAGGCTAGCTCTCTGCCCCAGGGAAGGAAATTTTATTCATTTTGAGGCCACAACAATATCTACTCTTGTTCTGCTTTTCTCAAAGGGAAGGCATTTTCCCCTGTTTTGGTTTTAAGCTGAAGAATGACTACATGAAATTTCATTCAAAGTGGAAGCTGGCTCTTCCCTCTTAGTGGGTAAAGGTTATGGGTCACAGGCAGTTACTGGGTAAGTACAGAAGAGTTTATTTGTGCAGTGATTCAGGAGAGAAATCTGTTCAGTGTCAATAGAGCTGCTCTGTCACATCCCAGACATGATGAAGTCTTAATGGCTTGAATGGAATCGCTCTGAGTGAGTCAGTCCGTGCAAGAGCTGTGATAATACTTTATCACTAGGAATTGTGCGTGGCAGATGCATGTGTAGTAAATGTATTAGACATACATCTCCAAGAGGGTTTTTCATGAACACTGCTCAGTAAATGTATTAGACATACATCTCCAAGAGGTTTTTCATTAACACTGCTCAGTTATTTTTGTTATCTGGAGTGTGTTTCTAGGAGAGTTGGACTGAAAGCACTCTGAGGTGATGGAAGATGGTTGTTTCTTGCACTGGAGTGCTCTAGGGGTACGTGTACCAGCTGTTGGAGGGTTAAGACCTTACATGCAAATGGTTCTGTTTTGGTTGATAATCTCTAAACACAGAAAGGAGAGGTTTAGGGCCCAAGGCAACTTGTGCTGAATAGACACATAAGTTGAAATTCATGTTCTTCGTGTAGATATGAAGATTTGCCTACAGGGAGGTTTTTACAGGAAAATGGATGATTAAATTTGGATTTATCCCTTTTTTTTCTTACTGTCCATTCTCTGCTCCCTCAATTAAGGTATGTCAATCAAGCCTATCAGAATCATTTGCTATTAATTGAGGAGTTTTAGAGCAGCTTAATATTATACTTTTAAAGGGACTCTATCAGCTTGAGTTGTAATGTGCCTGAGATTAGCTAAATCCATTGCTGTAAATTGTGAAACTCCTGAAAGCTGAGTTGTAGATCCTGGCCAAAATCCTTTTATTTCCTACTGTGCCCTGAGGACTTTTTATATTTGAGATTGTATTTACGTGCCCATCTTGAAGCAAGGAGGTTTTCACATGGTGAAAGGATGTAAAGATTGATCATCTGTAAATCTGTGGCAGGCAGGTGTATCTCCTGTATGGAACGAGGGGAAAAAGAGGCATCTAAACATTAATTCCTATTTTCCATTAGAACTATCTTCAACTTCTAGCAGATGAAAACCAAAGTTCCTACAGATGGCTGGCTGATGGTGAGGAATCATTCTATAGATATGTTACACATGCACTAAATTATGCCTTTTAAAAATAATCTGCTTAATTTAATCTTACATCATAGTCTGTTTCAGTTTAATTTCATTTTCTAGGGAAAGCAGATGAGTCAGTTTCGTCAGTCAGTCCTTAATTGAACTTTCTAGTAGTATTGTATCTGAACAGTGAGACCTTGAAGGAGCGTGTTAACTGTAACCAGTGTTTCCATTTCATTTAAATATTTCCTAATAAAGAGTTTTGCAAAAATCCACAGATCCTTTTGATTTTATAAAATCCCTCACATTTTTTTTTTTCTTTTATATTTGTTCTGGATTTACCTGCTGGGTATTATGTCCTAAATACTATTCTGTAGATGGATGTTTTATTTGTAATGATGGCTTCCTCAACTGGAGTACTGTGGCCAGTCCTGGGACCCCCAGTATCAGGACATAGAGCTACTGGAGCCAGTCCAGAGGAGGCCATGAGGATGATGCGAGGGCTGGAGCAGCTCTGCTGTGAGGACAGGCTGAGAGAGTTGGGGCTGTTCAGCCTGGAGAAGAGAAGGCTCCGGGGAGATCTTATAGCGGCCTCCCAGTACCTGAAGGGGCTCCAGGAAGCTGGGGAGGGACTTTGTCCAAGGGCAGGGAGTGACAGAACAAGGGGTGATGGCTTGAAAGTGGCAGAGGGGAGATGGAGATGAGATGTGAGGAAGAAATTCTTTGGTGTGAGGGTGATGAGACAGTGTCCCAGGTTGGCCAGAGAAGCTGTGGCTGCTCCTCCCTGGAAGTGTTTAAGGCCAGGCTGGATGAGGCTTTGAGCAACCTGGTCTAGTGGAAGGTGTCCCTGCTGCTGGCAGGGGGGTTGGAACTGGGTGAGCTTTAAGGTCCCTTCCAACCCAAACCGTTCCATGATCCCTCTGCATGCCAATGCCCCTGGTCCATCTCCCGTGTGGGTTCTGAAGTGAGAGCTGTGCTTTGTCAGTTTCTGGGGTGGGAGAATCGCTCGGTGTCCACGGGAGGGAAGATGCTGAGCTGAAGCTGCATTTTCTAGGTGTGGG